TTCCGGTTCGTTACAGTGTGACTGTTGCAGTTCTTCTCGCCTCTTGCCACTTTGTGGACGTGTCAACTTTTGTGCATAAATTAAACAATCACCTGATTCATGTCACTCCACAATATGTTTTCCTACACAAGAAATGTTTATCATTCTTGTCATTTCTGTCTGCTTTGATATGTGCAGCTTTCTTTGGTTAAACTATTGTAGGTAACACATGTTTTCGTTGTCGAGTTCAATTATAAGGATTGACTGTCTATTGTTTTCGGAACCTTGAGGTATGCAATGTGCAAGACTTTTGTAAGAATCCAAAGTAAATAATATTGATGTTCAGTTATTTCAGTGGAATGCCTTTTAGGTAAAATGGAATTATATTATGAATGATGGATACATTAACACAACTGGCATAAAGTTAGTAGATGCTATCACTAGATTCTGCCAAACAAATATTCCCCAAAGACAGAATTATCCGCCCCAGAGATGCTCCCCGGATGAATGGGAATATTAGAAAGTTCATGCGTAAGGGAAGTGGGATTCATAACAAAGCCAAACGTAGAAATTCACCTGATGATAAGAATTTTATTTTAGAAAATATCGTAATTTAGTTATAACTGTGATAAAGAATAAAGATAGAAGAATTAGATAATGTGATAAACTCGGATCACGGTAGCAATTCATGGTGGCGTATTTTCGAGTATTATCTTAAACAGACTCATAGAATAAAGGACATTTTCCAAACATAAAAAAATGATTTTGCGGTTAATGATGATGTTGATAAAGCAATTATATTGAATAATTACCACGTAGGCATTGCAACTGTTGATAATCCTAATGATGACATTCAGATGATGAAACAGTTGAAAACGCTGACTATTGCCTTCAGAGTATGTCACCTAAAATCTGAAGCGAGAGACATTTTGCTTCCTCTCGATGTTTCCAAGCAACTTAGGACTGATAAATTTAGTAATCGTTTTCTAAAGTATTTTGCAGAACAAATATCATTTCCGTTTTGCAATTTCTTTAATTCCTCTTGATTGATTCTATTCTAATTGTAGAACTGTCACTCTTACCAGTTCTTTATCTCCTGTTTGAGAAATGTGTGTTTAAACATGTCAAATAATTTCTCAGATGATGGAATTATTACTTCTTTGCAATCGTGATTTACAGCTGGTGATTGTACTGTGTATCAACTGACCCATTTATATAAAAATATAAAGGTAAAGTGGACGATGGTAAAGAAGAATAGAGAATAGGTAAAGAATAAAAAACAATTAACTGTAATAAATGGATGTAATATCACACTTTATTTTAAACTAAAATAGGACTATATGTTTGCCCTCCTTGAGCAATAGCGATGTACAAGATATTAAAACTGTGCATTATTCTTGGTAATGTGGTAAACGGTGCACTTACTTTGGGGGTTTTACGTCAACTTCACAAATATTTTATTTCGTCGACGGGCACAGGGGTGGTAGAAAAAAATCAAATCCCCCTGAGTGAGTTGGGGTGGGTGGGTCGTTGAGTGAGTGAGTGACAATTTAAGGTCGCATCGGCATTTTTACCATCTTCCCGAGGCTGGAGAGTTAACTGACTTTAAAGGTCCAGTTTCCACCCTTGCCGAACTAGGCTGGTATTATGGAGTTACATTTTGGCTGGACTAACGAGTCTTTGTATAGCCCAATCAAAGTCGCGCACCGAAATTGAAATCCGGTTCGTAAACTGTGGTGCAGATTTCGGTCGATTGCAACTCGTTGTCAGCCGATATTTTCCAAATCTTTTCATGTTTTCAATGATGGTGCTCACGTGATTTGATGCATTTCGCGATGTAAGACCCGTTTTATCACAATATAGATCTTGATTATCGAGGAGATCGTCCTGACTGGACGCCACCATCTTGTGTTAAGCAAACGCAAGTGATACGAGAGGTGGAATCTGATTGGTCCATAGGAGAGGCTTAGAAGGGACATCACTGGTAATAGCCACTGGTGGCGCTGCGATCGAGCCCAGTAATTCCAGCCTAGTTCAGCAATGGTGAAAACTGGACTTTTAAAGTCAGTTAACGCTCTTGCCTCGGGAAGATGCATCTTTACATTCATATAGTATTTTGAACAAGTTATTCATTAATAATATTACATAATCTTCACATAAAACCTGTCTACAACGGACAATAAAGCAACTAGAACTTCGCAGATTTATATTTAAAACCAACATGCGTCCATAAAAAGATATCGCTATATGCGACAATACACGATAACAACGAGCAACAGCATCTTCAGCAACCAAAGTTAGGTCACCATACTGGGCACCATTGAGACTTATAGTATTTCTGCTACCTGCATGGTACCCTAGCAGGATTTATACCATTCCTCTGGCCAACAATTATATGTACATGTAAGTGAAAACACTTGTATATTTGCACAAGACAAGAGAAAACAATACAAGCTGATAAATTTCACTGAATGTTCATGTCAAAAAGAGAATAAAAAACCTTTGGAGTATAAACACCTTTTTTAAATCAAATTCAAATATAAATACTTTTAAAAGAGAAAAATTACTAAATAGCGTCAAAAGAATATAGTTATACCTCAACTGTTTTCATTTGTGGTATAAAGGAAAGGACAGCCGGTTTTTACTACCTACCTTTTTAAGGTCATGATTATTTTCACTTCAGACCGGGAAACCCACATTGTTTTACATGTTACGAGAAATGGGTAATATATAGCATAACATCCTCGCGACTCGGAATAAAAGGCTCAGCACTTTCAAAATCAATCAATCAGGGACATATTAATTCATATTCCATGTTACTGGTTGGATATTCTCTAAATACATGTGTTAATCCAAAATGTTTTAATCCCTACGACCTTAATGGGTACTCTCGAGCATAGTCCGGATTCATGAGGTTTTTCACTGCATATAGTCAAACACTGGCTTAAAGGAATTTCGTAGGATTTCTACAAATACCATCTTTCCACCATGGAATAATGTCTGGTATTGTTTTCGAGTGCTTTTCAATGTTGTTTAGCTTCCTACAAATTTCACATAAAGACTCCTGTTCATAGTAGTGCTCAAGGAACAGAGATCCTCCAGGATCCGTGTAGAGGTACTCTTCTGCTTCATAATAATATTCCTCTTTGCGTTTGAGGATGTCGATGTACTTATCAGTATTGTTGTGTAGAAACCATAAGTACTCAGCCAGATGCTTGGGAGACTGGAAGTCGTCAACGTTGATGTATGTACCTGGGGGAGCATCTCGGCTGTAGTTACCGCCGCCACGAACCACGGTCACAAGGTCAAGGTTAAAGTTATTGAAAAACTTCTCAGTTATGTAGTCCTTACAATAATTATTTTCAAATCCAAGGTAAAATTTGTAGGTTTCGTTTACAAGTTTTAGCCAATCCTTATTTTGTTCTCTGCGAAATGTCATTTTCCCACATAGGCCATAAATATCTACTGGAATGTGTTTCTGCAGTTCCTTGCCATACGCCATTCTTTTGCTCCAGTCAAGACAATTACTGACCATCCATGCAACCAATTTCGTCTTCTTCTTGACAATAGCACTATAGTTCTTCAGAGGCACTGTTCTTCTCTTCTTCAGTAAAGCATACGGCCTGAATATGTCAGAATCATGCCTAAAGGTCATGGTCCAGTTGAATGCGGACGACCATGGTTGTTTGTAAAAATCTCTGTCATTGGCAAACAGATAAGGTGGCTCATTGTTGTGAAAAATCCACACTTGGCCTGCCTTTCGAGGTGGAAGGGCGCCCTTGATGTACTGTGCGTTAAATAAAACTGCTTCACTGCTTTGCAGAAATGTTCTATTCCGAGTCACGAAACAGTTGGATTGAGGGCAGGCACTTACAGGAACCCTGCTTGTGAGGTTGGTGGGTAAATATCTCGGTGTAAAATACCAAAGGATTGTCTTGGGATCAGTTGGGACCACCTCGTTGATGGCTCCAGGCCCCGTGTGTTGAAGTCTATAGAATGCTTGTTTGGAATTTAGGATGATTTTGGAGAGCAGTTTCCCTTGGGTATCACTTCGAGAAGTTACGTATAGTATTAAGATACACACGAGCAGCATTCCTCCACATACTGTGAACGCCCATCGATTTGCACTGAAACAAAGAAGATTATATATGAATGTTTGTCCGAAACTTTCCTGTTTTAAGTTCAAACAAGCTTCATTTATAGTCGACTCTGTTGATGGCGGAGAATTTTTATTAATATCGAAAGGGTTTTGTCACTTTTATTCTATTGTACAACACAAAATGGCAATGCATGTTATATTATATGTTCAGGCTTTGAAACACATATCTACCTTCTAAACATCATAACATAAAATTTGTATCCTGTGTGACAGATACAACATTGTACATATTTATTTTATTCACCTTCAGTATCTGCTTTTAGGTGTTCAACTTTAAACATAAATCATTAGTTCAGATAGATTAAATGTATTTAATATGTCCTTCATGTTGTAAGCCTTAGCAAACCCAAGCCATGACGTGCTCAACTGATTGGCCAAGCTAACCCTCAAAGTTGACCCTTTGTCTCACTGCATGTTCTTAATCTGCACACATTTCCTGCACAGACAAGTTGACAGGTGAAATCATCTAAAATCAGTTTAGTTTAATATGTATGTGTATACTTGTATTGTATGTTATTGCAGTTAAATGTTGCAGTATATTAAACCTATAATACTAAACTTACCTAAACGTTTTTAATATTATCATATTCTCAGTTACAATCTATTTAAATAAATGTGGTAAACAAGACTTATAAATTGTAAGCTTTGGTAATTACTAATATATCACTTTTCTGTCTCTTTATTCTTGTATGTATGAGGAAGAATGTATGTGTTGTTTTATGGAATAGGCTATGTTTTAAATGCTTTTGTGATCAGTTCTGTATAATATACAGTCTGTACTATACGGGATCCGGAGAAATATTTTAATGTGTATGTAAATAGTTGTATAAGTCATTGTTATAAAAGTATATGTTTTATTCAGATATCCGGAATTATAAGTTGCGGCGCTAGTCGGGAAGACATCCCAGTCTCACCCACAGGGTAGGCACATAATAACTTGTATAGTCAGTTTCTATATTCGTGTAACACATAAGTGTGTCACACCCGTAAAGACATGTATATGTATGTATTTTGAAAGAGATTTATAATCTCTTTACACTTAGTTAATATATAAATAATTATTCTATTTGGTTCTTACATCAGTTAGCAGATCATTGTACAGTGTAACAACTAATATATTAAGAAGATGTGTTTGTAATGTAAAATGGTTTGTAATACTGTGATGTCGATGATTGCATTATGTATATTGTTAATATTACTTATCATTCCTTTCATATGTTTCAGGTTGTAGATACTAGATGCTACATATTAGATAGATAAATATGTGACAGATCCATTGGCGAAATAAACGTCTCTCACCCGTAGCGTGTGTTTGGCTATCACGTCATTCACTGCCCTGCTACAAATTGAGCCCCCAGTGAGGACTATAGTCGCCATGGAAGGAATGACATAGATCGCCAGCAACATCCACTTTTGATGATTTCTTTGAAGTGACCTTTGTGAGACCTTGGACACTGTCACGTGACATGTGTGTGTTTATTGTGACTTTTCCAGTATTGGATATTGCTACTTCAGCTTGGACATTCAATTCAATTCATGGACATTCTGATCATGTGAGTCCCCATCATGTATAAATTCATTGTAAAAATGTTACATCCTTTGCTAGCTAGCATTTAACTTTAAATTTACTTTGTACCTGGCGCCAGTTCAGTTCAGTTCAGTTCAGTTCAGTTCAGTTCTGTAAACTGTGACTTTGTTTACGTCACATATTTCGTATTTTGTTCATGTTCAAAACTTTGTATTACAGTAGACTTCTTTGTCAGCTACTTCTCATTATTTTGTTGGTACCAACATTGTCTACGTAGCTACAGGTTCTTTATTATGTCATGTGTTTAGTTTAGTTTAGTTTAGTTTAGTTTGGTATTGTTAAGTTTAGCGTAGCTTAGTTTATTTTTGTATAGTTTTGATTAAGTTTACCATCAGCTTTTAGTTAGTTTACTTATATAACGGTACTCAGTGTGTATGTGTGTATGAAAATGGCTTGATTTCATTTCTACTTTCTCTCCTTGTTTAATCAAAAAAAAGGTTAGCAAATAAAATTTAATTGTATAAACAGCATGTAAGCTAAACATGTCTTAATTTACTGACTGTATGACGATAGACTTTTGCACTTTCTTTGAACATTTCACATTTTGATACTAACATCCCCTTCCACTCCCTCTGTGTTGTCTGTAGATTTAGTATTTAGTCACTTCCTTGGTTTGTAAATACACTTTGTAAGTATTGTATTTTCAACTTGGGATTTGTCGTATGCCTAGCATTATATTCAAGTATATGTACACCCTGTCGTGTGTGCACTTGTGCTGCGTTTCTTTCTTTTGAACGCCATGATATAACGGGAATACTGTTTAAACCGGCCTTAAACCTGCCTTACACCAAACTCACTCACTCTTTTTTTGTGTGTGAGTATATTATTACACTTTGCCGTCACACGTGCTATTTTGGGAGGGATTACCTTTCAGCTTAGTTTGTGTATTAGCTCTCTGAACTAGACATTCCACTTGTTTGTCTTTGTTTGCCCAAGTAGTCATTTACTTGAACTCGCATTATCCGCTTCATTACACACGTGTACAGCAGATATTTTCTATTTTGCGTTCCCATAGCTGTATTTCTGCACGATTGCAACATGCGTCATGTTGCTTATTTCATGCTTCGGTGCATGTGTCCTTAGTCATACTCATATAGTTACATGCCAGTGTGACCCTCTATATCACTTGGTACTTCCTACACACTCACCACGCGATTGGTGTTTCACTCATTCGACTTCCTGGTACCCTTTGATATTCCCTCTTTACCTCGTTGGCACATGGTCTGCTTTTTGAGCAGTTGTGTTTGTTGGTGAGCTTGATGGTAAGCCAGTTCGAGCTTTACTTGACACAGGAGCCACAGCGTCTGAGTCTTTTTATGAGGAACAGTTACAGCACATTGAACTGGAGCCACTCGGTAATATTATGGACATTGAGTGTGCAGGCGGCGAGACTTTACCATATAAGGGGTTTATTAAAGTGGATGTATCAATCAATAGAGGAGGTGTTGATGTGGATGCTGTTCCATGTTTATTCCTTATAGTACCAAGTACCAGATACAGTGCCCGTGTACCAGTACTTCTAGGAACTAACATCTTGAACTGCTTATTGAACAATTGCCGGAACCAGCATTGAACTAGGTTTCTACAGAAGGCCCCATTGCACACCCCATGGTATTTAACCTACAGGACTATTGTGCTTGGAGAGAAGGAACTGGAATGGAACAAGTGGCGACTTGGACTTGTGAGAAGCGCTGAAGACAGGAATGTCATGATCCCAGCTAATGGTAGATTTGTAGTGAAGGGTCAAGTAACCAAGGGATCGAGGACACCTAGACTTTGACCTCTTCTACAACCAACCCCACAGGCATCCATTCCTTCTCATGTCGACATAGCTCCAACAGTCATCACTTATGACAAGGACAGCCCAGGTGACATCAAAGTGCATGTTTTCAACATCACCACCCGTACAATAGTTATACCTCCCAGATCCTTACTCTGTGAACTTCAACCAGTGACTCTGCAGGATGCACCATGTGATTGACCTATAGATGAGAAGACTCTATTGGAACAAGTGGAAATAGAGAAAGAGAGTTTGACTTCTCAGGAGATAGAACAAGGCCTTGATGTTATCTTGAAGTTCAAGGACATCTTTTCCAAGAATGAAGAGGATCTTGGGCACTCATCAGCTGTTCAACACCGGTTTGATTTGACAGATGACCATCCTTTTAAGCAAAGACATCGTCGAATACCACCAGCCATGTTTGATGAGGTCTGAAGTCACTTACAACAACTTTTTTCTGCAGGAGTCATCCGAAGTTCACACAGCCCTTGGGCATCCAATGTTGTCCTAGCTAGGAAGAAGAATGGAGCTTTAAGGATGTGTATAGATTTTAGACAGCTTAACAACCGCACCATCAAAGATTCTTATGCTTTACCACGTATCGAGGAGCTGTTAGACTGTTTAGGAGGCATGACCTATTTCTCTGTTTTGGATATGAAGAGCGGGTACCATCAGGTTGAGAGAGAGGAGAGCCATAAGGAAAGAACTGCCTTTACTGTTGGACCATTGGGTTTCTTTGAATATAACAGGATGCCATTTGGTCTTTCCAATTCCCCAGCGACTTACCAGCGACTTATGGAGCAGTGTCTCGAGGGACTCCATCTGAAGATCTGCCTCATCTAACTCGATGACCTTATAATCTTTTCAAAGACTTATGAGGAACATGTTCAACGTCCAGAGATGGTTTTCAGAAGACTCCAGGAATGTGAACTGAAGCTCGCGCCAAAGAAGTGTAAATTCTTCAAGCTCCGGGTGAGATATGTTGGCTATATAGTTTCTGCTAATGGCATCGAGGCAGACCCAGAAAAGGTTGACAAGATAAAGAACTGTCCTACACAATCAACTCCTGAGGAAGTTAGGAGGTTTCTCGGATTTGCTGGTTATTACCGGAAATTCGTGCAAGACTTTTCTAGCATTGCAAGACCTCTGTCTGAACTGATGCCAAAGTGTGCCAAGAAATCCAGGAAACAAGCCACAAAGACTATGATATGGAAGTGGGATCAGGACCAAGAAAGAGCCTTTGAGGAGATCAAGACATACCTTTCATCCCCACCCGTTTTAGGGTATGCTGACTACACAAAGCCTTTCGAGCTCCATACAGATGCCAGCACTCAGGGTTTGGGAGCAGTACTGTATCAGCATCAAGATGGCCACCCACGAGTCATAGCATATGCAAGTAGGGGATTGAAACCTTCTGAAAGAAACTACTCTGCACATAAACTGGAGTTTCTGTGTTTAAAGTGGTCAATTTCAGAAAGTTTCATGACTATGTGTATGGTCATGACTTTGTGGTGATGACTTACAACAATCCCTTGACGTACGTTCTGACCACAGCTCGATTGGATGCTACTGGACACCATTGGTTAGCTTGTCTAGCCAACTACAACTTTACCATCCAGTACAGATCAGGAAAATCCAACGTAGATGCTGATGCCCTGTTCAGATTGCCTCAAAGAGAACATCAAGTACAAATGGAAGAGGTCAACAAGGACTCAATAAGAGCAATCTGTGAAGTTTTACAAGTGTTAGATTCTATCCACCCCTGACATAGATGAGCAAGAAGAGATAACTGAAGACAGATGCGAGTTTAATGCCAGGGATTGGAGACGAACTCAATCAAAGGATCCAGAGATTGGTATCATCATTGATCATCTCAGAAACAGGACTAAACCAGACAGGACACATTTTATTGGGAATCAAGAGATGACAACGCTGTTGAAAAGTTTTCAGCACTTTCAGCTAAAACGAGGTGTTTTGTATAGAGTCATCAAGACAGAGGGAGAAGATCAAGAACAGTTAGTCCTTCCAACAAGATGTAGATCGGCCCTATTGCGAAGTCTCCACGACAACGTTGGGCATCCAGGGAGAGACAGGACCTTGTCTCTCATCAAGGACAGATTTTATTGGCCTGGGATGACCAAGGATGTAGAGACTCATGTTCAAAAATGTGTGCCGTGTCTGCGTCGTAAAACACCAACAGGAAGAGCTCCACTGGTCAGTATAGAAACCTCACAGCCTCTAGAACTGGTCTGCATGGACTTTCTCACCCTGGAGCCATCAAAGGGAGGACAGCAACATGTTCTAGTTGTGACTGACCACTTCACCCGCTATGCCCAGGCCTACACTACCAAGAACATGACGGCCAAGACAACTGCTGAAGTCTTCTTCAACAATTTCATTCTACATTATGGGATACCTAAGCGTATTCACTCGGATCAAGGAGCAAACTTCACTGGGAATCTCATGCGAGAGTTATGTCAGCTTCTGAAAATCAACAAATCCCGGACCACACCATATCATCCAATGGGGAATGGAATGTGTGAACGTTTTAACAGGACTCTCTGCAACATGCTTGGTACTCTTGCCCCAGACAGCAAGGAGAACTGGAAAGCCTATGTTGGACCATTAGTACACGCATATAACAGTACTCGCCATGAATCAACAGGCTTTGCACCGTTCTTCTTGATGTATGGACGTCATCCACGTCTCCCGGTGGATATAGCTTTTGGACTTGACATGAATTCAGCCAAGTCAACATCAATGACCTGTTATATCAAAGACTTGAAAGATCGTCTCACCCAAGCTTATGACATAGCATCATCTGCAGCTAAAAAAGCCCAGTCCAGGAACAAGAGTTTCTACGACCAGAAAGCAAGAGCAGCTGTCATTGAGAAGGGAGACAGAGTACTTGTAAAGGTGGTTGCCTTTGACGGCCGGCACAAGTTAGCAGACAGATGGGAAGAAGATATTTATGTCATCTTGGACCAACTAAATCCAACCATACCAGTATTTGTCGTTGGTAAGGAGAATGGACACGGACGGACAAGAACCTTGCACAGGAATTTACTGCTTCCTATCGGCTCTCTTCCCCAAACAGCGCCAGTGCCTAAACCAAGACGAATCAAGTCTCCACAACCACAACCTAAAGTTCGACCAAGGACGTGTGTAAACCAGTCACCCAGAGAAGACACCACAGGCATCTCACAGGATGAAGATGAACTGGAAGATGGAGAAGATATGGTGTTAGTCACCACTCATCATTCGGACTCTGCAGGGTCAGCTCTTTATTCAGCTGACAGGCCACCTGAAGACAAGCCGAACGAAGATGTTGAGAGTGAGGACCAGAACACTGAAGTTGATGGAAGGGATAACACTGCATATGTTGAAAAACAGGAACATCCTTCAGAAAAACCTCCAGTTCCACCTGTGGATGTCCCACCAGACAGAGAACTTGCTGCTGCTGCACCGATTCCAAC